CAGAATCAGGCCACCATCAAGTCACTCCCTTCTCACTGACGACTACACACATGCCAAGTGGAAATCCAAACTATCTGTTCAGCTAAAAAAAAAAAAAAAAAAAAAAAAAAAAAAAAAAAAAAAAAAAAAAAAGGCACTAAATAAAAATGTGAACAATTTCCCAGAGAGTGGCTAAATGGATTTCCATTGTTTATTATTTTTAAAGTTCATTTTGGGGCTGAGAAAAAGATAAGATGTTTCCACCAGAGATAATTTAGGGACACAGAGGATGCGTTCAGCTACTGACACCAGGGGTTTAAAGTAAAAGCACTTAATGATAACTAGGCTAACACCAGTGTAACTCAAATATACCTAACAATTCCAAACACTTTACTTTGATAGTGCAAGGCCAAATAGATGAAAATGTCCTGAATTTATATTTCAGTGGCAAAAAGTCAGTTTATGACCATTAAGACATCATTACTTACCACATCATCATGACCACCACTATAGCTCTTTGGGGTAAAAAAAAAACAAAAAAAACAAAAAAAAAACCCAACAACAAGCAAATCTCCACTCCTCCACCCTCCACTGTTCATAAGCTTTAGAACAGTGGCTCTCAAACTTTTTTACTAGTGACCCCTTTCACATAGCAAGCCTCTGAGTGCGACCCCCATATAAATTAAAAATACTTTTTTACATATTTAACACCATTATAAATGCTGGAGGCAAAGCGGGGTTTGGGGTAGAGGTTGACAGCTTGCGACCTCCCATGTAATAACCTCGCGACCCCCTAAGGGGTCCCGACCCCCAGTTTGAGAACCCCTGCTTTAGAAGAATCCCACACTACTACACAAAATTAGATACTGAAATAGTATTACTTTGGTCAAATGAAAGCTTAATAAGATTGATATTTTACATTGCTGAGCATATAAGAGGTAATGGGCAATAGCTCTGTAAGAAGTTCACAAGATCTTTGCTTCTTACATTATCTGCTACACAATTCAAGCAGGTTTTTCAGCCCATTAAAACAATATTGTGGGTCTATTTCCTGATGTGAGCTTTCACATCTCTAAAACACCATACAAAAAAGCTCTCTCTGACTTGCAACATTCTATTCAAGGTTGGGGTTGTTTTTGTTTTGTTTTTTACTCTGTTCTGGGGTTTTTGAGAAGTTGTTTTTAAAGTATTTTATTTTAAACATGTTATATTTAAAAGCTGTCCTAAAAAGAAACATTTACCTATGGCTTCTTTAAAGTTACCAAGAGCCGATTTTCCTTATAAAGACAAACTTTGTTTTGCTGTCAGCCAAAAGGGACTTTCTCTGACAGCCTCGCAGTATTTCTTGTTACTGTCTTTGTTATTTTAAAAGGGTGGCGGTAGGAAAAGGGAGTGTGAAGAGAAATTAAACACACACTCAACGTGACAATTTGCTTCTAAAAACAAACTTGGAGATAATCATCCATTTTTGATTAAGCAATGGCATGAGCAATCCATGATCCCTCTATTGATTAATATTAAAGTAGAAAAGTGGCAAAATCCCTGAAAATAGTAAACTACATAGTTGTCAGTTGACTCCACTGTACAGTCTATTGTGGGGAAAACTGGAACTTCTCAAGACATAATTAAACCTGTGCTCCTAAGTGAAAACATTAAGACAAATAGAGAAAGTAATCTGTTTGCTATAGTGGATTTAATAATATTCTATATGATAAAGATGATTTGCGAGCTATTCATAAGCAAAAGAAGGTAACTATAGTAGGGCTTAATAGACCATATCAAAGTGATTACATTTAAACATGTCTGCTAGAAATTTGCATTTATTTGAAGTGCCACAGCAAGTGGAAACATATTCTAGACATTACACATGATTAGTGCAAGAAACCTCTGGAAATGTTTATTGTCAAATAAAGTAAACATCTAAGAGAGAAAAATAAAGTTATTGTATTTACAAATGGTTCTTACACCCTAATTACTCTCACATAATTCATAATAAAACAGAGTCAAAACTGAGTCAGTTTTCTATTTTTTCCACACTGTTGGAGACTGTGGTAAATATTTATTTAACATTTTTGTTTAGATAAAATAAATAAGTACATTTGTTGTAAAATATGCCTCAAGGATATAGGCTGTCAGGGATTTTTCTAGCAAATGTCATAAACAGCCACAAAGAGATGTAATCAAACCATTTCCAGAAACAAACTAGACACCACACCATATGGTTAGATGCCATCACTTAGAAAATACTTAACTGCTTATCCAGCAAGGGACCTGAAAGAAAGCCTTTGGTATAACGGTATAAGCTTTAGCTGGCCACAGTTCACCAAGTCATTTTTAATACTAATGGAAAAGAAAATATAACACCATTTGCCACTTATTTCCACCTAGGTTTCCCTTTTCACCACTGGGCAAGTGTCATACGGACCCCAAATATGCTCAATTACACTCAGTCCATCGAAAAAGTCTTCTGCTGTGTAAGTCTCAAAAACTCAGAAAACAATTTCAAATGCAAAATTAAGTTTTAATGGTGTCTATCTGGAATCCCTTATTGTTTATGCTATAAATATGTTTCTGTTCATCTCCTTAGATATATTTTTTTTCTTTTCAGAGCTTACAGAGAAACACTTTTCTAGACAAAAATACACATCAATTCAAATTCAAACACCAGTTTTTACAAAAAAAGGTTAAACTAAATAAAAAAAACATATCAAAGGACAGAAAAAATGGGGTATAAAACTTCTTGATCACTTCAATGTAGTAGTAGCGAAGACGGGAAAAGCTAAGATGACAACTTAACTACTGCAGGCCCCTTCTTAAAAAGCACACTCAATACATTAGGCAAGAGGCTTTTCCCTATACCGAACAGAACTAAAAATATGCTTATTTCAGAAAGATGAACTCCTTTTAAGGACCAGTGAGAGTTTAATACGATTAATGCCCTCTTTCAACAAACCAAAAAAAGTTCAGAAATCACTGTTTATAATTGATGCTAGATGCTTGTCCAGCCTGGGCTAACCTAGACTTTAAATAACACACACACCACCGCAGTATTTAGAGCCAGCCCAGCAACAGCTAGCTATACTGTTGGCCAAGTTAAAAAAAAAATCTTCAGCGTAAAAACCTCAAGATTTTACATTAATATAGTGAAACTTTGAAACAAGCCTTGCCTTGCTCTAAAGACTCCTCTGATTCTATCCCCCTTCTACTGAACAGAGATAAATAAAGCCGACCAGAGTGCTGAAAACTAAAATAAAGTGTTACTAACGCAGATTAAAGTGATATTTCGAGCACAAAAATAAGGGGGAAAGAAAATTGGAATTTGGGTAGGGGCTACCGAACTCTTCAAATTTCACGTACAGTTCCCACTTCCCTAATTTGTGGGAAACATTCAGCCGCCCTGATATACATCCAAAGGAGCGAGCAAAAAGTTTGTAGCAACTCGCAACGCTTCACTCCGTCTTACGACTCCTTTTTCTAGTGTCTTTTCAACCAACCAACCAACCAACAAATAAAAATCCCCCGCAAATTTGCTGTACCCTGACTGCTTAGTTTTCCTTCTTCCTCAGCCCCCGGACTCCTGGATTTTCCCTGGGATTGTGAAGATCTGTCGCGCTCCTTACCTGCTCCCTAGGTATGCAGGGCAGGGAGGTCCTCCGATGAGACTTGTTGCTGCAGCTGGACATCTCGGGAGAGATCATGGAGCTGGACCTCCTCCTCCTCTTAAACACCGGGACCTCTTCCTTGGCCAGCTGGGCACCAGAGACCTCTCTATGCTGCGCCGCCCCGGAATGGGGCAAGAGCTGATCCGCGTACCTGGCCAGCAGGATGCCCAGTAGCCCGAACAAGTAAGCCAGGTAGGGTCTCCAGGCTACCTTGATCCTCTCTAAGGAGACGAGGGACGTGGTCCTGACCGCACTAGTCAAGGCGATCATGAGGACGCCCTGCCTCAGCTTCAGCACCAGCCATGTCACAGTGGCCAGGCAGCTCAGCACCACCCCCGTGGCGGTGAAAGAAAGCAAGTGATCCTCCCCTACCGCAAACCCAATCTGGACAATCGCTTCCCCCCCGCAGCAGGCGGCCAGGAGCAAGGCGGCTGTGTGCAGGCGGACCCCGGAGCGCAGCAAGTACAAGCCCATCCAGAAGAAGACACACATGAGGCTGAAGAGCAAAGCGATGGGATGCAGCCAAGGAGTCAGCTGGAAGCTGCTACTGGGGAGCCCTGCTGGGGGCAACGGCAAACCACCCGCTTCTCCTCCTCCAGCTGCTGCGGCTGCTGCTTCCTCCTCCGCCGCCACTACCTCCTTCTCCTCCAGATTGCAGCCGATCTCCCCCCGGACCAACCTGACCACCAGAGCCAGCAAGAAGGACAGGGATCCGGCGCAGAGAGCCGAGGAAAGTTTCCGGGAGCTCCAGATTTTCTGCAGCACCAGGTCTCCCCAGCAGAGCTGGCAGGTTGAGTCTTCCTTTTGCCCCTGCTGAGTGCCCGGCGGCTGCTGTTTCCCATCAGAATAACAATACCCATTGCAATCGGATCCTATTCCTGCTGCTGGGCTTTTCTCCTCGCCAATGCTCCGGTTAGACTTGCCCCTGACACTGGCAGAGTCGCTGGACAGAGCCATCGTTTCAGCCTCCCCTCTTCCCCCACACACACAACGAGGCAACCCCGTCCCCTCCCCGCCCCAGCAGAGAGAGAGAGAGAAATCCTCTCACGTTCCTCCAGAGGTTGCAAAAATTAATATCTATCACTGGGTGCAAACGGAGAAGCGCAGGAGGGGTAAGGCTAGGAAGAGTCTGCAAAGTTACAGCCTTTCATTTTGTAAGGAGATCAGCCTCCCTCTCCTGTCCCCTGTTCAAAGAGCCTGTCGCCCTGGTTATAGGCTCTCCCTCCGAGATCGCTGCAGGTTAAAAAAAAAAAAAGAAAAAGTCCACGGGGTTGTCGGACGGGGCGGAAGAACAGAAAGAAGCCGCTGGACAAAGTCAGCAGCGCTGGTTCATTTCTAGGCCATCACTGCTCCCCCGCACTCGGGAAGGAGGTGCGGGGGGGGGGGGGCGGGATGGAGCTGCGTGCGGGCAGCTGCAGCAGGGACTTTCTGCCCGCTTTCTTCTTCTTCCTGCTGCTCTCTCGCGCGCTCACTCGTCCCTTCTCCTCCGGCGATCCTGCCCGGCGCTGCCAGAAGCCGTGGCTCGCCATTCCCCATGGCTGGGGGGAGGAAGAGTCCTGTTCATTGCAGATCTTGGGGAGGGAAGGGTGTGTGTGGGGGGGGGGGGGGGGGGAAAAAAAAAAAGGGGGGGGGGGGGGGGGGGGGGGGGGGGGGGGGAGATAAACAAGCAGGAGGCGGCTGCCCGTGTTTGCAGTTCAGCTTGTACAACTGCCCGGGAAACGCTGCCCCGCTCCCTCTGCTCCCCCTCCTCCCGGAGGAGGCGCTGCTGCGGGCAGCTCCCCAACCCAGGGCCACGCAGCGAGCGGAGCACGCACGCAGCAGCTGCTGCGCGGAGCGAACCCCTTGCTCCTCAGCCCCGGGAACGCGGGGTCAGATGAGCCGCGCGGGCTGCTACCTCCTCGCTGCTGTGCCGGGGCGGGAGCGCATCGCACCAACCCGCCGGGCGGCTTTGCAGAAGCTGAGGCGCTGGAAGTGCCAACCAGCAGAGAATTGGCTGCCACCGGCTGTTAGCAATAAAGCCATAAATCTGAGTGACAGGGAGGGGGCAATTACACGGCAGTAAAAAAGTCACCATCGTTTAGCGAGATTAATTTTTACTTCAGTGTGTAGAGACAAGCCCAGCCTGGCCCACCAGAGCTAACTGCCTTAGGGAAGTTCAGCCCCAAAAGCCAGGTTGTGCCACTCCCATCCCCCTTTATCTGGGCCGACCCAAAACATCAGATCCAGTCAGGCTTTGAGAGGCTGGTCCCATCTTTGTCTTACTGCAATGCAGTTTGCTCCACGGAGGGTCCAATGGCCTAAATCCTCTTTTTCTAAACTAACTGCACCTTCAATTAAACCAGGGGAACCCTGCCAATAGACTGTGCCCCTCTGAGAGAGCATTTGCTACAATTCTTAGGGGGCTGAAACAATTAGGCCCAGATTCTGCAAAGACTTAATTGGGAGCATACTTAATAGGCCTGATGAGTAAAGTTACACACAGGTTTAAATCTTTGCAAGATCAGGGCCTTAGCTCTCAAAGCCACAGGACCAGGTAAATTTCATATAGTAATAATATATTTAGCACACTGCACACAATAATACAAACCCCAGAGAAACATTCAGCAGGGAAACATTTAGAGCCAGGAAATGAACAGATTAGAGAAAAGAATTTCCCTACTCCTCCCCCAGCAAATAAATCAGTGATTTAAGACGTAAAACAGATTCATAGTGGTGTATTTATTTGAGGATATATCTGGGTTTTTAATACCTTGCCTATCACCATAATGTCTGAGTTTAATGGGTTGAAAGGGTAGCTCCAGTGTAATGTGTTTTCTATGACCAGAAACATGGCATATGAACTGAGGTTGGTTTTAAATAATAGTTTTCCAGGCTAGATAATATGTAATCTGGATTTGTCGTTTTTGTGTTTGAAGTTTGGTCAGAAAGAAACCTGACTATTGTCAGTAAAGTTTGGTTTTGAGGGTTGGATACAAGGAATCTCATAGGGGTTTTGTTGTTTTTGTTTGTTTATTTTACGGTTAGGAGTCCAAACTCTGAATAGCTGACAAGGTTTGCAATATATTGTTGACAAGGGCTGTCGGGGGAGCAGGGAGTCTTACATCTATGTAGAGCCCCACTGAAAATATCACTGGGCTCCCCACCAGATATGAAGGTCCACTCATAGGGTTTGATTGCAGGACCAGGGTCTATAGAACAAATGGGGCCTATATGCCTTTCACCTCTACTCATTTAAAATAGATAGGCCTCTTAATGATTTGTTAGTTAAAAAAAAATTCAGTGAGTCAAAATGCAAACAGTCTTCACACAGTTCAATCACATATAACTAGTATTTCAATGATAGACAACAGCACAAACAGCTCAGACCCATTACACCTTTGATCTTATCCTCCACACTGAGCATCATTCATTTTAAACCCCACTTTACCTCAGCTTTGTTACTTTAGAGATTATTTAAAAAAAACTGTAGTAAATAAATTATTTTCAAACTTCCCTACTAATAATTTTTGTTTTTTTCCCTATTTAAAAATCTGTCACACACATTGGGGAAAGCATATGTCCTTAATACTACCTTCCCCTGATACACAGATAATTCAGGTTATTTGAAAAGTAATGGCACTCTCTATTTGGACAAACTCAGGTTTAATGTTTAAGGGAATTGCAGTGGAATCCACAAAGGGCCTTAGGTGTTGCAATGCTGAGCATTGTGGTGCCTAACATTTAGATGCCTAGAAAATCACAGGAATAACACTGTGATCCACCAAGCCAAATTAAGTACCTTAAGAACCCCTATACAATGAATGGGGAGAGATAGACACCTAAGATTGCGATCCACCAATGCCAGTAGGCTAGGCAGGGAGCTGCCAAAGTCAACCAATGGGAGATGGTAAGCCCTGCCCCTCTCTGAAAGTTAGGTACCTCAATCCAGGCTGCAGGGAGGTGCCTGGCTCTCCTTGCTGTCCATGAACTGGGGGAAGATGGGTGCTTGGCTTCCTAAATTGCATGCAAGGGCCGAAGCAAAACAGTCCCAGGTGGAACGAGGGAGCCCTCCTTTTAGCCTAGTGTGCTCACCCAAGCTGTGGGAGACCCTCATTCTCCTGAGGGGGAAGACAGGGATTTGAATCATGCTCTGCTCTCTCTCAGGTTAGTGCCCTAACCCCTGGGCTACAGCATCATTCTAATTCTTGGGGTGGCCCAATTAATATTTAAGTATTCTGTTGTTTAATTAAAGTTGATCAACTTCAAGAGAGCTTGAGGGAGACCATATCAGAATATTACGTAGTTTAGTGGTTAGATTACATTCCTGAGATCCCACTTCAATTCCCTTCTCCCCCTCCAGAGGAGGCAGGACTTGAGCTGGGTGTGTGTGTCTCTCCCACATTCTGGATGAATAGTCTGTCCCCTAGCCTAAAGATTATAAGGGAGGTCCCTTTCCCACCCACTCCCTGCTGTTTTGTGTGAACTGCCCTGAGGAGCCCAATCCGGTAGGTGGCCTCTGAGCACAGTCCCCATATTAACCCCCCCATGCAATTTAGATGGCCAAACACCTATCTTTCCCATTTTGTGAATTGCTCTGGGTCTTAAGCCAGAAATAGACATCCGGATGCCTACCACAAGGCTGTAGTGCAAGTGCTCAGGCAGGAGATAGCCACCCATGCACCTAGAATGAAGCTGCAGTGTGTGTACCCTCAGAGGAAAAAATTTAGGCGCAGAGTGGGTTTAGATGCCTATAAAGTTAGACAGCAGCCGAGTGGGAGTTCTATAGATTGCAGTGGGCCTAAAAAGTGACTTAGGCACCTAAATACCTCCAGGGATAATACCCTTGGTGCTTTTTAATAACACCTCCTATTGCAATGGTTTTGTTTCTAGTAGCATGGTTTCTGGCTGATTTTGTTTCAGGGCAGTTTTAAACACACTAAGTCCTTGACCATGCATTGAGCTCTGCAAGGGTGGGACCCTGAACCTGCATGAAGCCCTAACAGCTAAATGGGCATCACTGAAGAAGGAAACTATTTCACCAAAGATGACTTTTTTGTAGTATTATGTGAATCAAAACAAGACCACTCCAAAACTAACACCTGTCAGCTTCTGTTATGAAGAGTGTGCAGAAACCTAATGTAGCCTTTGATTACTTTGTCTTGGTAGGTTAATTTCCACTTCAGGGTCTTCTTGATGACAGAAGAGCTATTAATAATAGTCCAAGCATTGGGTGTGAAAATACCAAGACTTCCTAGAACCACAGCCCGGGCCGGCTCTGGCTTTTTTGCCGCCCTAGGCAAAAAAGCCACCCGCCGCCCCTCCCTCCCCCCCCAGCGCGGCAGAGGAGGGCGCCAAGCCCGCTGCGGCTCCGCTCTCCCCGGCGGCTGGAGCGCTGCGGGGAGGGCGGCGAGCCCAGTCGCGGCACCACTTTCGGGCCAGAGCGCCCCGCCGCGCCGCCCCCCTCCAGGCACCGCCCCGAGCACATGCTTGGTGGGCTGGTGCCTGGAGCCGGCCCTGGCCGGGAG